AGATTTCAAAGGGAATGCTTCCAGTTTTTGCCCATTCAGTATGATATTGGCTGTTGGTTTGTCATAAATAGCTTTTATTACTGTGAGATACGTTCCATCGATACCGAGTTTATTGAGGGTTTTTAGTATAAAGGGCTGTTGAATTTTGTCAAATGCCTTCTCTGCGTCAATTGAGATAATCATGTGGTTTTTGTTTTTGGTTCTGTTTATGTGGTGAATTACGTTGATAGACTTGCGTATGTTGAACCAGCCTTGCATCCCTGGGATGAATCCTACTTGATCATGATGAATAAGTTTTTTGATTTGCTGTTGCAATCGGCTTGCCAATATTTTATTGAAGATTTTTGCATCTATGTTCATCATGGATATTGGCCTGAAGTTTTCTTTTCTCGTTGGGTCTCTGCCGGGTTTTGGTATCAGGATGATGTTGGTCTCATAAAATGATTTGGGAAGGATTCCCTCTTTTTGGATTGTTTGAAATAGTTTTAGAAGGAATGGTACCAGCTCCTCCTTGTGTGTCTGGTAGAATTCGGCTGTGAACCCATCTGGACCTGGGCTTTTTTTGTGTGGTAGGCTCTTAATTGCTGCCTCAACTTCAGACCTTGTTATTGGTCTATTCATAGTTTCAGCTTCCTCCTGGTTTAGGCTTGGGAGGACACAGGAGTCCAGGAATTTATCCATTTCTTCCAGGTTTACTAGTTTATGTGCATAGAGTTGTTTGTAATATTCTCTGATGATGGTTTGAATTTCTGTGGAATCTGTGGTGATTTCCCCTTTATCATTTTTTATTGCATCTATTTGGTTGTTCTCTCTTTTATTTTTAATCAATCTGGCTAGTGGTCTGTCTATTTTGTTGATCTTTTCAAAAAACCAGCTCTTGGATTTATTGATTTGTTGAAGGGTTTTTCGTGTCTCAATCTCCTTCAGCTCAGCTCTGATCTTAGTAATTTCTTGTCTTCTGCTGGGTTTTGAGTTTTTTTTGATCTTGCTCCTCTAGCTCTTTCAATTTTGACGATAGGGTGTCAATTTTGGATCTCTCCATTCTCCTCATATGGGCACTTATTGCTATATACTTTCCTCTAGAGACTGCTTTAAATGTGTCCCAGAGGTTCTGGCACGTTGTGTCTTCGTTCTCATTGGTTTCGAAGAACTTCTTTATTTCTGCCTTCATTTCGTTGTTTACCCAGTCAACATTCAAGAGCCAGTTGTTCAGTTTCCATGAAGCTGTGCGGTTCTGGGTCGGTTTCTGAATTCTGAGTTCTAACTTGATTGCACTATGGTCTGAGAGGCTGTTTGTTATGATTTCAGTTGTTTTGCATTTGTTGAGCAGTGCTTTACTTTCAATTATGTGGTCAATTTTAGAGTAGGTGTGATGTGGTGCTGAGAAGAATGTGTATTCTGTGGATTTGGGGTGGAGAGTTCTGTAAATGTCCACCAGGTTTGCTTGCTCCAGGTCTGAGTTCAAGCCCTGGGTATCCTTGTTGATTTTCTGTCTGGTTGATCTGTCTAGTATTGACAGTGGAGTGTTAAAGTCTCCCACTATTATTGTGTGGGAGTCTAAGTCCTTCTGTAAGTCATTAAGAACTTGCCTTATGTATCTGGGTGCTCCTGTGTTGGGTCCATATATGTTTAGGATCGTTAGCTCTTCTTGTTGTATCGATCCTTTTACCATTATGTAATGGCCTTCTTTGTCTCTTTTGATCTTTGTTGCTTTAAAGTCTATTTTATCAGAGATGAGAATTGCAACTCCTGCTTTTTTTTTGCTTTCCATTAGCTTGGTAAATCTTCCTCCATCCCTTTATTTTGAGCCTTTGTGTATCCTTGCATGTGAGATGGGTTTCCTGGATACAGCACACTGATGGGTTTTGGCTTTTTATCCAATTTGCCAGTCTGTGTCTTTTGATTGGTGCATTTAGTCCATTTACATTTAGGGTTAATATTGTTATGTGTGAATTTGATACTGCCATTTTGATTCTAAGTGGCTGTTTTGCCTGTTAGTTGTTGTAGATTCTTCATTATGTTGAAGCTCTTTAGCATTCAGTGTGATTTTGGAATGGCTGGTACTGATTGATCCTTTCTATGTGTAGTGCCTCTTTTAGGAGCTCTTGTAAAGCAGGCCTGGTGGTGACAAAATCTCTGAGTACTTGCTTGTTTGCAAAGGATTTTATTCTTCCTTCACTTCTGAAGCTCAGTTTGGCTGGATATGAAATTCTGGGTTGAAAGTTCTTTTCTTTAAGAATGTTGAATATTGGCCCCCACTCTCTTCTGGCTTGTAGTGTTTCTGCCGAGAGATCTGCTGTGAGTCTGATGGGCTTCCCTTTGTGGGTGACCCGACCTTTCTCTCTGGCTGCCCTTAGTATTCTCTCCTTTATTTCAACCCTATTGAATCTGACGATTATGTGCCTTGGGGTTGCTCTTCTTGCGGAATATCTTTGTGGTGTTCTCTGAATTTCCTGCAATTGAGTGTTGGCTTGTCTTGCTAGGTGGGGGAAATTTTCCTGGATGATGTCCTGAAGAGTATTTTCCAGCTGGGATTCATTCTCTTCGTCCCCTTCTGGTACACCTATCAAACGTAGGTTAGGTCTTTTCACATAGTCCCACATTTCTTGGAGACTTTGTTCATTCCTTTTTGCGCTTTTTTCTCTGATCTTGGTTTCTCGTTTTATTTCATTGAGTTGGTCTTCGACTTCAGATATTCTTTCTTCTGCTTGGTCAATTCGGCTATTGAAACTTGCATTTGCTTCGCGAAGTTCTCGTATTGTGTTTTTCAGCTCCTTTAATTCATTCATATTCCTCTCTAAGTTATCCATTCTTGTTATCATTTCCTCGAATCTTTTTTCAAATCTTTTTTCAAGGTTCTTAGTTTCTTTGCATTGATTTAATACATGATCTTTTAGCTCACAAAAGTTTCTCATTATCCATCTTCTGAAGTCTAATTTCGTCATTTCGTCACAGTCATTCTCCGTCCAGCTTTGTTCTCTTGCTGGTGAGGAGTTTTGGTCCTTTCTAGGAGGCGATGTGTTCTGGTTACAGGTGTTTTCCTCCTTTTTGCGCTGGTTTCTTCCCATCTTTGTGGATTTGTCCGCTGGTCGTCTGCGTAGTTGCTGACTTTTCGTTTGGGTCTCTGAGTGGACACCCAGAATGTTGATGATGAAGTATTTCTGTTGCTTGGTTTTCCTTCTACCAGTCTAGCCCCTTCGCTGTACGACTGTTGAGGTCCACTCCAGACCCTGCTTCTCTGGGGTGCACCTCTAGTAGCCGTGGCACAGCGAGGGATGCTACCAGTTTCTTTTTCTGCTCTCTTTGTCCCAGGATGATGTCTGCCTAATGACAGTCTTTTGGATATAGAGGGGTCAGGGAGCTGCTTGAGGAGACAGTTTGTACTTTATAGGGGTTTAATTGCTGAGCTGTGCACTCTGTTGTTCATTCAGGGCTGTTAGGCTGCTATGTTTGATTCTGCTGCAACACAGCTCATTAAACAACCCTTTTTTTTTTTCTCAAATGCTCTGTGTTGAGGGGTTTGGGCTTTATTTTTGGATGTCCGATCAGGTGTCCTGCCCAGCTCGAAGGCAGACTAGCCACTGTTTGGCTGCCGAGGCTCCGCCCTGCTGTTGTGTGATTCGCGCTGTTCCTGCCGGCTCTGCTGTGGTCTCCGCCACGCCCTGCGGCGGAGTCTCTTCGTTGTAGCGTGTTGCCTCAGCAACGGCAGGCTGCGTCAGCAGTGGGCGTGTATCTCAGTAGGGACGGGTTGCCTCGGCAACGGCTGGCTGCGTCAGCAGTGGGCGTGTATCTCAGTTGGGGCGGGTTGCCTCGGCAACGGCTGGCTGCCTCAGCAGTGGGCGTGTATATCAGTTGGGGCAGGTTGCCTCCGTAGTGGTGGACTCCCCTCCCCCACAGAGCGTCTCGGACCGTCTGCCCGGGATAGTTTGAAATCGCGGTTTTGTTCGTCCCACTGGGTTTCCCAAACGATCTGTCCCTGCAATCCCCTGGGCTGGGCTACTGTGCAAGTCTCGTTCGGTCTCAAGTCCAGCCCTCTCAAGTCTCAGGTTGCCGGTTCAACAAGGCACCCGGAAAGCGCGCCCTGTGGGGATTGCTGGGTAGGGCCGGCCGCCGCCGCCCCGGCTGCCGGCTTCGCCAGGCAGACCTACTGCCTGGCGTCCCGTGTCTTTTTATACTTGGGAGTTTCCCCGTTCTGTGGGCAACAAAGGTCAGTCTGGAAATGCAGCACTGACTCACTGTTTGTGGATTCAACGCGGGCTCCAATCCTGGGTTGTTCTCACAGCGCCATCTTCTCTACTTCTTATATATTATTCCCAAATAAAACTATAAACTGTTTTACTAGAAATTTGTCTGTGTATGATTTTATTTCAAGTTAACATTATTTTAATGGTGTAATGTTTACTCAGGAACAAGCCCTGTGATAGTAGAATGGCACACATTCAAGGCCAGAAGAGTAAGAAACTAGGCCAACTGAATCAGATTAGGTCCCACCTGTAATCCCAGCACTTTGGGAGGCCAAGGCGGGTGGATCACCTCAGGTCAGGAGTTCGAGACCAGCCTGCAAAAAGATGGTGGAACCCTGTCTCTACTAAAAATCCACAAATTATCCAGATGTGGTGGCACACGCCTGTAGTCCCAGCTACTCGGGAGACTGAGGAAGGAGAATCACTTGAACCCAGGAGGCAGAGTTTGCAGTGACCAGGATCACACCACTGCACTCCAGCCTATGTGACAGAGTGAGACCCTGTCTCAAAATAAAATAAAATGAAAATTGCAATAGAAATGTGTTTTGTTTTGTTATATAAAAATTATATAATACCTTCATCATAATTCTGTTTATCCAATCCCTGTGTAGCAATCCCTGTGCTGTAAGAACTGAGTGAATGTTTACTTATGGTAATGGCCTCCAAAATCTTTTTCATTGTTGAGATTCTCAATTGCTATACTACAGTTTTTAAAAGGACAGCAATAAAAATTGCTTTGTCTGAATTATTTCACAGCTGGTATAAAGCAAATTACAGCATGGCTGAGAAGTTAGACTGGGGCCGAGGAATGGGCTGTGACTTTGTCAGGAAGAGCTGCAAATTCTGGATTGATCAGCAGAGACACAAGTAAGAATGCATTTCCTCACAGCGTCATTGATTACACAGTTCATTTCTTATTTTATTCTTTAATCCTATGTCTAAAATATCAACTATTTTCAAAATGTCGTCTGAGCAGTTCAGTTTCAATGTATAGAAAACCATCTATAGATGCTTGGTAATAATATTGTAAGAAGTAGCTGCAGTATTGTTTTTAATCATACACTAAAGGAATCCAGATATAGGTGAAGGGGAGGAAGGCAGCAAATCACACTGCCACATGTGTATCTATGCAACAATCTTGCATGTTCTTCACATGTACCCCAAAACCTAAAATGCAATTAAAAAATAATAATTAAAGGAATCCACAGTGAGGGGCCCAGAGCCAGGAACATTTCTGTTCAGCTTATTGTAACTCATAAATATATGTATTTTACAAACATTTTGTGTACTGTGTCATTCTTACTGTTTTCTGCAGAGAGTACACCTATAAATGCAAATATTGATTCAGTATCAAAAAAAGCTACTTTTGAATAGGGGTTTTAAAATCTAGATTCATATCATAATCACCTAGCAAGCTTTAAAAAAAAAACAGAGTAAGTTTGATATAGATGTATATATAATCTAGATTTGATTATGTATAAACTACATAGATCTGTATCATACATATATACATACAGTTGTTCTTTGGTAACCATGGAGGATTGCTTCCAGGACCCCTATAAAAAACAAAATCCATAGATGCTTATATAAAACTTCCTTATAGAAATTGTAGTAGTATTTGCATATACATCCTCCTGGATATTTTAAATGACCTCTAGGTTATTTAAAATACGTAATACAATTTAAATGCTGTTGAAACAGTTGTTATATTGTTTAGGGAATAATGACAAGGAAACAAGTCCCCATGTTCAGTGCAGAAGCAACCATCCTTTTTTTCCTTAAATTTTTTCTTTTGTTTTGTTTGTTGTTGTTATTGTTGAGACAGAGTCTCATTCTGTTGCCCAGGCTGGAGTGCAGTGGCACAATCTCCGCTCATTGCAACCTGTACCTCCCAGGTTCAAGCGATTCTCGTGCCTCAGCCTCCTGAGTAGCATGTGCCATGACTCCTGGCTAATTTTGTATTGTTAGTAGAGACAGGGTTTCACCGTGTTGGTCAGGCTGGCTCACGCCTGTAATCCCAGCACTTTGGGAGGCCAAGGTGGGTGGGTCACTTGAATTCAGGAGTTGAAGACCAGCCTGGCCAACAGAGTGAAACCCTGTCTCCACTAAAAATACAAAAATTAGCCAGGCCTGTTGGCGGGCGCCTGTAATCCCAACTACTCGGGAGGCTGAGTAAGAGGAATAGCTTGAACCCAGGAAGCAGAGGTTGCAGTGAGCTGAGATCATGCCATGGCACTCAGGCTTGGGTGACAGAGTGAGACTCTGTCTTAAAAAAAAGTTAAATAAATTTATACTGTATATGAACTTATGAGCATGGCTTTTTTTACTCAGCATAATTTTCTGGAGATTCCTCCTGGTTGTTGTAAATGTCAATAATTTGATGTTTTTTATAGCTAGTTAATATTCCACATGTGGTATAATACAGTTTGTTTAAACATTCACACTTTGAAGGACATCTGGATTGTTTCCAGTTTTGGGGTATTGTGAATGAAATTGCTATGAACATTTATGTACAGGTTTGTGTGTGAACATATATCTTTATTTCTCCAGAAAAAATGCCAGAATTGTAATTGCTGGCTTATTAAGTAATTGCAGATTTAGTTTTATAAGAAACTGCCTGGCTGGGCGAGGTGGCTCATGCCTGTAATCCCAGCACTTTGGGAGGCTGAGGCGGTTGGATCACCTGAGGTAAGACCAACCGAAACCCTGTCTCTACTAAAAAAACATAAATTAGTTGGGCATAGTGGCTGGTGCCTGTAATCCCAGCTACTCGAGGGGCTAAGGCAGGAGAATCACTTGAACCTGGGAGGTGGAGGTTGCAGTGAGCCAGGATTGTACCACTACACTCCAGCCTGGGTGACAGAGCAAGACACTGTCTCAGAAAACAAACAAACAAAAAACTGTCAAACTTTTAAATTCCTACCAGTGATGTATACGTGATACAGTTTCTCCACATCTTTGCCAGTGTTTGGCATTGTCACAATTTTTTGTTTCATTGATTCTGATAGGAGCATAGTGATAATTTTTTTGAGTTTTAATTTGCATTTCCCTAATTGCTAATGATGTTAAACCTCTTTTCATGCGCTTACTTGATAATTATGTGTCCTCTTTGGCAAACTGTCTCTTCGTCTTTTAAGCCAGTTTCTGATTGGATTGTTTTTTACTGTTGAGTTTTGAGAGTTCTTTATGTATTCTGCGTATTAGTCCTTTGTCAGACATGTGGTTTGCAAATATTTTCTTCTAGTTCATAGCTTGTCTATTTATCCTTCTAAAAGAGGCTTTTGTAGGGCAAGTGTTTTTAGTTTTGACAAAGTCCAGATTATCAGTTTGTCCTCTTGTTGTGTTGATGTCAAGTCTAAGAAGTCTTTGCCAAGCTCTACATCTTCAAAATTTTCATATTTTTTTCAAAGGTTTTATAGTTTTACACTTTACATTTAAGTCCATGATTCATTTGAGTTAATTTTTATATAAGGTTTTTTGTGTACAGGTGGGCAACTGCTTTAGCACCATTTGTTGGAAAGGCCATCTTTCTTTCATTGAATTGTTTTTGTACCTTTGGCAAAAACAATCAGTTGGGTATATTTGTGGCAGATCTGTTTCTGGGTTTTCTGTTCTGTTCCATTGATCCATGTGTCTGTGCCTCCACCAGTAACACACAGTCGTTAATTACTTTAATTATATAACTTGTGAAATTGGGCAGACTGATTCTTTCCACTTTAAGATTGTTTTGGCTGTTTTGGTTCCTTTGCATTTCCATATACATTTTATAATAATCTTGTATCTGCTAAAAAATTTGTGGGGATTTTGCTAGGAGTTGCATTAAACCTGTATGTCAATTTGAGGAGAATTGACATTTTTACTGTGTTGAGTTTTCCAATCCATAAACATGGGAGAAAATATTGTTTTTTTATTATTATTATTATTATTATTATTGGAGATGGAATCTCGCTCTGTCACCCAGGCTGGAATTTAGTGGCATAATCTTGGCTCACTGCAACTTCTGCCTCCTGAGTTCAAGCAGTTCTCCTGCCTTAGCCTCTCAAGTAACTGGAACTACAGGTGCATGCCGCTATGCCCAGCGAATTTTTTGTAGAGATGGAGTTTCACTGTGTTGCCTAGACTGGTCTTGAACTCCTGAGCTCAGGCAGTCCTCCTGCTTTGGCCTCCCAAAGTGCTAGGATTATAGGTGTGAGCCACTGTGCCTGGCCTCAGTCTTTCAGTATTAAATGAAATGCTAGCTGCAGATTTTTTAATATATGTTCTTTATCAAGTTGAGAAAGTACCCCTCTATTCCTATGTTTCTGAGAGCTTTAATCATGAATGGATATTGTCTTCTGTTAAACGCTTTCTCTACATAAGTTGATATGCATAATCATGTGATTTTTTTAGCCTATTAATATGGTGGATTACGTTGAATGATTTTCAAATATTAAATCACCCTTGCATTCCTGGAATAAACCCCACTTGGTCACGGAGTATAATTATTTCTCTATGTTGCTGAATTCTATGTACCATTATTTTGTTGTACATTTTTATTTCTATATTTGTGATAAACATAGATTTTCTCTTTTTTTCCCAGTTATTTTGCCTTTAATTAATAGGTCTGGCTGTCAGAATAATTGTATTTTGTCAGTTAAACTTCATCTTTTTCAAATCTGGCACATTTTGAAAAACAGATACATCCTTCCAGTAAGAGAGATTTTAAAAGTAATAATAATAAAAACAAATTTATAAAATACATAATAATTATTACTAAATAAGTAAATAATGGGCTCCCCTGTCATACTTCATATTGGCTTGATTTAAATTATTATTCATGGCCAGGTGTGGCGGCTCATACTTGTAATCCTAGCATTTTGGCCAAGGCAGGCTGATCGCTTGAGTCCAGGCGTTCAAGACCAGCCTGGACAACATGGCAAAAGCTCATCTCTCCAAAAAATACAAAAACAAGGGTAGACATGGTGGCACATGCCTGTAGTCCCAGCTACTCAGGAGACTGAAGCAGGAGTATCAGTTGAGCCCAGAAGGTCAAGTCTGCAGTGAGCTATGATCACTCCACTGCACTCCATCCTGGACAACAGAGTAAGACCCAATCTCTAAATAAATAAATAATGTATGTAATAATCTGAAGCAATAAATCCCAGTATATAATGAGGTATTTAGCTTGCTTTATTTTGATTTTGATTTAGTTCAAAATATTTTTCTCTTTTCTTTTTTCTTTTTTTTATTCAAAACTCATGTCACTTCAAGTTCAAAATATTTTTATCTTTCTCTTGAGATTTCTTCTTTAACCACTATATTATTTAAAAGTGTTTTGTTTAATTTCCATGTATTTTGAGATTTTCTAGCTATCTTTCTGTTAACGGTTTCTAGTTTAACTCATTATTGGAAGAGAGCAGAACATTGTATGATTTCTCTTTTACATTTCTTAAGATGTGTTTCATGGCCCAGAATGTGGTCTCTCTTGGTGGATGCACCACGTAAGCTTGAAGAAAAAAAAACGTTGTATGCTGTTTTTGGTTAAAGTCATCTGTAAAGTCAGTTATATCCAGTTCGTTAATGGTGCTATTGAGTTCAATTAGGTTCTTACTGATTTTCCAACTGCTGCATCTGTCTATTTCTGAGAAATGGATATTAAAGTCTGCGGTGATAATAGTGGATTCATTCGTTGGACCTTGCAGTTCTATCTATTTTGGGCTCACATACTTTGACACTAGGTGCACACATGTTTAGGATTGTTATATTTTTATAGAGTATGGATTCCTTTATCATTTTGTAATTCTCCTCTTTATCTCTGATCATTTTCTTTGAAAAGAAAAAAAGTTTTCTTTTTTTTTTTGAGACGGAGTTTCGCTCTTGTTACCCAG